AGCTTTGATCCAGCACATTCTGACACCAATGGCTGCACTGCATTCTCCCCCCACACAACATTCAAGAGAAATTCACCGGCAACCGATTACCCGTTTTATCTCTTGTTCCAAACCCAACCTTTGTCATTTTGAATGTATTTTGTCTTCACAATAGAACACTGTAATGTCCAATTTTGTACCATTAGCAAACACATTACCTAACAACTTTTACTTCTGGTGAGAATGGAAACTGTTATCCATATTTATTTTTTAAACCTAGCTTTCTAGAACAATAAATCCTATCTTCCATTGAACTCAAATGATGAGGCAACACCACGGTCCTGTTTAGTGACATATTTTGTTCACTCAGGATCCTCACTCGGGGTTTCTGATAAAGTAACTCAACCAAAAGTCTGAACACCATGGGCATCACATAGAACTTTCCTGGAAATATTGTGTAACAATATTTAAAACTTTACCAAAATTTACTCCTAATCTTTGTAAAATGATCACATGCCCCAAGGTTTTTTGAGCCCATCTGTGCCAAATTTGTAAAAGTAGAGAATACATTGCTAGGTAAGCTGGGCATGGTGGTGCACGCCTGTAATCCCAGCACTTGGGAGGCTGAGGCAAGAGGATCACTGTGAGTTCGAGACCAGCCTGGGCTACATAGTGAGTTCCAGGTCAGTCTCAACTACATAGTGAGACCCTGTCTCAAAAAATAAGAGAACAAATAAAGAAACAAAAAGAATACATTGGTAGAAAGAACCCATATGGAGTTCCCTCGGGTAGTATACACAGTGCTTCACCCAAATCTATATGTACTCCTTAACTACAGTATCTCTTCAGAAGTAGAACACGAATGCATTGTTATTTTGTTCAGGGACCCAGCATCTCTTAAAAATTGAACACAACTATCATACTTTCCTAAGAGATTCTCTGGAGATCAGTAAAGCAAAACAGAACAAAAACCCAAGGCAGAAGTTCACAGGGAGCTGGGCTTCTCACTACTAGTACAGAAAACTCAGATAAACTGCTCTGGGATCTCCTCCCTACTTCCTGAGGTTGAGCTATGTCTTAGCATCTTGCCGTACACAAAAAGATAATAAATAGCCTGAAGGAAAGGCAGAACAGAAGATGAACATTTTTTCCCTTTTTTAGTAATATCCAACTATAATCTTTCAGTTCATCAGCACCTTAAGGACCCCCTGAAAATCTATGGCCCATCAGATAGAGACTGTCATCACTAAAAGCTCTTTTGACAAGTCACAGTTTATTATCAATTGTTTATTCAAGAAAAATATGTATTTCAACCACCCACTATGCGTATGTATTTGCATATATTAATATGAATATATTAATTATAATGAGATGAATAATTAAATTAAATATTTAAAACGAAAGAATATTGAAACAGAGTATGACTGAGGTATTATGTGCCACTTGTTTACCTTGTTTACCTTCTTCATCAGCGTATGGCTGTGAAAACTGAGCTGAGAATCTTGGCATAATTTAGGGACAGAAAGAAATCTAGCAAAAAGGAGCTCAACTTACATTACAACAAGAATTGAACATGAAACCATAGAAATTAGTTTGACTAAGATCTGGGGTTCAAAAATTTCTATGACTAAGAAACTACAGTTATGGGGGAGCTACATTTAAATGAGAAATATCTGAAATATAATTTCATTAAGCCCCTTTGGGCCAAAAATTCAAAGGACCCTATTTCAGCCATTTCATTTTTAGAGTCCTTGCCCTCTTGTGAACTTAAACCATGCAATGGAAACTTGACATTCATAATTTCCTCTTCCAAACAGTCCCTTAAAATACCACCTTTCTCTGCAGACTGCAGCACCCTGCCTGTAGATAGGCAGGCTGGACACGTCATGCATAGCATGATGGGCTCCCAACTGTGGAAGAGTGGCTTCTATTCTATATTCACGGGTGAGAGTACAACCTGCCTAAGTGATCAAAGAACTTGTTAGTAACTTGTAAACATTTCACACAGAGTTAACTCTCACTCAGAAATCTATACCGTGTGTTCATTTAGCCCATCCAAAGAAAGGGGTTGATTGAAAATCTGTATAATGAACTCAGCACTCTAACAGCTTTCTGTTCTCCAGCATCAAATGTTTGTCAACTAAAATAATTAGATAATGTAATAAACCACATAAAACCTCAAGTGGGGCATACACTGTAAATATTAACATAGTAGACTTTAAAAACCAAAGGAAAAAATGCATAGCTTGACTATTATCTAATCATTCTTTTCCTTTGTTGCCTTAGATATGGCTATGTCCATTAAAATTGTCCTCAAGTCTATGAACTCTTCCTAATGGCTAAAAATATGAATCTGCACTCTGAATCTACACTCCCATGAAGTCACACATAGACACACACTGTCTCAGGGAAGTAGGAATGCCATTCTAAACCTGTCTGCATTCTGACAGAAGACATTATATGGTTCGGATCAATTTGACATATTTATTTTAAATTTTATCTGAAAAAATTGCCAAACAGTGCTGGAAAGGATCAACATTATTCCACATGTTAAAAATGTCCAAAGGTGGTGTTAAAAATACATGGAAGATGTTTACAAATATCTATGTTATAAATTAATGTTAGAGCTTTGAGGCCAAAGAAAGCACCAACACATGAGAAATAAGTAAGCCCTGATAATGAAAGACTGTGCGTGCAGTGTTAAAAAGTTATTTTTCTCTTTCCAAACAAGTAAGGAATCTTAAATATGAAAATGGCACTTAGCTTCAATGTGAAAATGAATTTCACTGGAAATTTGACCAGAAAGTTACAATACCAAGAGGGCAGAGAACTTCAGTGACACAAACAGAGGCAGTAGCAGTCAGAAAGAAGAGGGGTGGAGACAAGGAAGCTGACGCAGACATATTCACCAATAAATAAAGAACTCTGACTTCCAGGGGGTAGCATTCTACCATTTAAGGGAGAAAACACAGATCCAAGACGGATGTGATGGAGATGCACCACTCAGTGGGTTTTGTTGAGATCCAGGCTCCACTAGGGAAATTTGAACGCTTTATGGCATCTGGATTTGTTCAAGGGGCTGTTATGGACTACAGGCTCCCACACAGTGGTGCTGCAGAAAGCGTGGTTTTCTATCACTGAAGATCCTGTGGCAAGGGGTAGAAGCCTCACTAGCTCAAAGAGTTGGAGCACGATCTCTGAGCAATCACTGAGTAACCACTACGCCGTGTTGACACAGGGGATAACCTCCAGGAAATTAAGCTTAAAAGGAAAAAAACAAGAATATTTTTACATTTAAAAGAGACAACAGCAGCCAAAGAGTGTGACTGTATCATCTCTGCAGCATTAGTAGAGAGGTAGACGAGACACAGACAGTACACACAGGTCAACAGCACCAACTACAGGATGCTGGTGTCCATAGTGCCCATTTCTCAACAGTAACACAAAACATGTGAAAATAGAGATGGACGTGTGACTGTACTCAGCTGGTAGAAACTGTCTCTGTCATTGTACAGGTGTTAGACTTACCAGAAAAACTCCAAAGTGCCTATCAAATGTATTCAGGAAACAAAGCCCATATTTACAAATTAAAGGAAACTACGGCAATTGTGATGTTTTTACAAAGAAGCAGAAAAGAAATATTTGAAGTTTCTCAGAACAAAGAAATGATAAATATTTAAATGGTTGGAAATGTTAACTGCTGTATTTGATCATTATACATTATATTCATATATCAAATTATCATACTGTACCCCATAAATATGAAAAAATATTTTATTTCCAAAAAAAGGAGGAAATAAGAATATTGTTAAAGAGCTAGAAATTATCTTAAAAGACTGAATAAAAATTCTGCAATTGAATGGTCTAATAAATTTCTGCCCATATATAAATTAATATGCTCAAATTCATTAAATTTATTGCTACTAATACTGAATCTTCCACAAGTGAAATTAGGAAAGTGACTTCATTCACATACATCTAAAAAAGGATAAAATATATACGAAATTTAATGAAAGAAGTTCAAGTTGTATGCATTGAAAATCACGAAAGAGAAACTATAAATCTAGAGAAGCATTTCCTGAATTAATATTGGCATCAACGATTTTTTAAAATTTCAAATGTAAAAGACTATGAAAAAATCCTCAGTAGCACGGGAACTAGCAGAAAGAATCAACAACTGGGATCTCATCTTATTAAAAAGCTTCTGCACTGCAAAAGAAACCATCAATAGAACTAAAAGACAACCTACAATGTAGGGGAAAATTTTACCAGCTGCTCCTCAAAGGACTCTTATCTAGAATATATAAAGAACTCAAAACAATCAACCCCCCCAAATATAAAGACCCAATTCAAAAATGGTCATCTGCTTGAGAGCTTGTTTGGAGGTTCTAGCAGTGGAGCGCAGCTACTCCTATACCCTTGACCTAGGAAATGGTCCTCCTCTATGGGGGAGGGGTCATCCTCTTTGAGCGCGCAGCTTCGGGAAGGACACACATGGAGCGGTGAGGGAGGAAGGGGACACCCGCCTAGCCAGCCAGATCAGCCGAATCAACCCTGGTGATCAATGGGGTTGCATCCAAAAATGTAAAACTTTATTTAAAAAACTCCTGTGGCAAATCTTCACAACAACAACAAAAATGTAAATTTCTCTCTACTCCAGTGAACAAATTATAGGAAACATTTTCAACACACTTTGAGGCACAAAAAATAATCCTTAATAACAACACCTGACTATGATATTGCAAGAATTACATAAACATAAATGCATAGCTCTAAACAAAATATTATCAAGCTGGGTCCAGGTACATATATTCTGAAAGGACAAGTAAGTTATAGAAACATAATTTTGCCTTTGCTCTTTGAAAATAAATAAATGTGACTCACAAAGTTAACCGAACAAAAGATCTATAAAATACCTGGTCATTTTAATATGATACCTGATACCTGGGTGGCTGCCATTAATGATACCCTTTCAGCATAAGTTCCTCACATATACTGTGACTTATCTTACAATTTCTGGCCTCATTGAATTGATTAAAAGGAGTGGTTATTTGTTGAAATTTAACAAGACGGATTGATGGATTAGCAAGTAAGGTTCTGGGCTTTTCCGTACTAGTTCCAGCTGTCAGACAGGACTTGGTGAGAGGTCATAGGATGCTCTGATAGGACCTGCAAGAACACAAGCAAAACATCTTTAAAGAAAAGGTACAGGCACGCCCACAATGTAGTTCACAGCACTCGAACACGGAAGCAGCTCATGTCCACAAAGGGACGAATGGATACACAGAAGATGTACGTGCAGGCCGTGGAGCACTCTGTGGTCTAAAGAAGGAAGAAAAATTTGATGGCGGCAAAAACGTGGAAGAAACTTGAAGACAAACTTCTTGGTGAAATGATCCAGTCCAAAGGAAGACAATATCAATGATTTCCCTTACACAAGGAAACTAAGAGTCAAATTCAAGGGGCAAAAAATGAAATAGTCGCTACCATGACCTGGTAGAGCCAGAAATGGGGAGTTGTTCAAAATGAAGACAGTTTCAATCCTAAAAGATCAATAGGATTCTCGAGATGAACAACGGCTGTAGTTGTACACTGCATTTTCTAAATTAGCTGTATATGCGGAGGTTAATAAGAAAGACTAGCGAAAAGGTGTAAGGTGATTTGCTGTAAACAGATGAAAAGTAGAAAGGATAGGAGGCTGGATGAAAAAGAAATGTAAAACATAAAAACTCACAAGTGTCTAAAAATCCATAGTGCAAAACACAGGAAAAAGATCAAACAGGAAACTATTATTGCCAAAATGATCCAGCCAGTGGAGATGGAGTGACCTGCCAATTGGAAAAGAGGACAGAGGATGAGATGTTACTTCCATTCTCGCACACCCATCCCCAGGCCTTGCTATATAATAAATTCCCTCCAAGCTCTCCTTCACCTCCCCTGCACCGCTCTTCTCCCTCATGCTCCCCGCACTGATTCCCCAGTCCCTCTCCCTATCCTTAAGGACCACTTTCCCCCACTTCCAGCCTGGGCCCCGTCCTTTCTCACCCCAGTGGAGGACGATGTCCTGCCCTCCTAGACTGCTGTGCTGCACTCGACAAGACAGCCCAGCAGCCTCCCCTGCCGCCACATCCAGGGTCACTCGGAGATACCAGGTCTCATCAGCATTGGGCAGGACGTCCCCTCGCTGAGTGTCCTTCTGCTCCTGCTCACCCCGCATCCACGTCACCCACACGGGCTTCGGGTGGAAGCCAGAGACGTGGCACACCAGCTGCAGACGGCCGGGCCCAGGGCTGGGACCACTGGACAGCCAGGCCTCGGGCTTCACTGGGGCAGGAACAGGAAAGGAAAGTGTTATATCATGACTCGAACCCAAAGCCTGAACTCAGAAACCCACAAGTTTGAATATTGAGCCTTTCTTTGAGAATGAAATAAGTTATTGAAGAAGCCACTCTCCTTGCGCTTGGAGAAGGTGGCAGAAAGTGAAACATTACGAGACTAACCTTGCCTCTGCAGGTCTGCCTTCCCTGCTTCAAGGACACCCAGGAGATATCGTGGGCAGGTTTCATAGAGCAGCTTCTCCACAGTGTGGAAGATATCTTTATATGGAGCGAGTAGTGTGCAAACTTTCTGTGCCCTGCTGCCGCCTTCCGGGGCAGGGACACAAGAAGAATTCTTGAAGCTCACAAAATCTAGTCCTCCCAATGCTCCTCTCAAGAAGCTTACAATGGCACCCCCAGAATGCAGCTGACAGCCTCCAATGCCCTGGATCTCAAAGGGATCTGTGTACGAGGAAAACAGAGAGAAGAACAAGATGTGGGAAGGACCTAGAACTGTGATTTGGGTAGAGATGAAGTCAGGAATATGCAACTCGTAAAGCTAAAAAATTATAGGACTTAAGCTCCAGAAAGAAAAGCATGGAGAGGGGCATGCGTGTCATGATGGGAGAACTGTAGTAAGGTGCATGGTGGTAAGATGAGAGGAGAGAGGCAGAGGGTGAGGAAAGTGTGAGGGAGCCACAGGCACAGCATTCCAAAGGGAAACGGGAGGTCACGTGGACGGGGGAACCAGGTGGAAAAGGTGGAAGGGGTAGATGAGAGGAGGAAGCCACACCGGGTAGGAACGGAAGGAGTGAATTCACAGCAGACAAACGGGTCTCAAAGTAGAATTCTTCATCAAGCAGAGACGAATGCAGAGGCAGCAAGCTCGAGAACAGACTGCTCCAGACAACCACGTGAAAGCAGTTGGGTAAAGACGGGGAGAGGCAAGAAGGATCAGAAGAGCAGGACCCTGAGTCAAGAGTGAAAACGAATCATTGAGAAAATCTCCAGGTGGGAGGTCTGCGCTCACATTCTATCCGCAAGGCATTCACGTCGGCTTTCATTTCTCGAATGAATGCGAAGATATAGATTCGAAACAGCTCCACCACATGAGACACCTCTTCATCACTGAAGTTGCCTTTAGACCAAGGCTTCAGGAATGTAGCAGTGCCTGAATTACTGTCCCAGTCATGAATCTGTAAATCTCCCAACCAGCCTGAGCCTTGATATTTCACCCAGGTGCTGTTGGCAAAAGACGAAATTTGGATGACATGGAAGGAGATCGGTCCTTGGAAGGCTGTGGAGAAAAGAATGATAGGACGGTAAAGAGGAAGAGAAACAGGAGGGAAAGTGAAAGCATGATATTGAAAAAGATACAGGAAACAAAAACCCAGACTCTGTAAAACCCATGAGGTCTGAATTGTTTGAGCCTTGGGAACTCAGGCTCCAGTCCCAACCTGCAGAATGATGGAGGAGGCCTGGAAACAGGAGGGCTCCGAGCCTTGGTCCTCGTTGCACCTGGGAAAAGATAGCCTGTCTTTTCCAGACCCCTGCCCCAGTGCAAGGAGCAGCCAGAGTTTCTTTTACCGTCTTTAGTGTCACCAGCTGGGAAATGAACTGCGATCAATGCCAGTAGCAGGAGCAGCATTTGGCTGAGAGAGAGGACTTCTGTCCCTCAGCTTGCTTTTGATCTCTGGGTTCAGCAACCCTTTTCTCAGTACTCTCTAGTGACTTCCTCTCTTGCAACTGACACATTTCTTCCTCATACAATAACTGTGTACCAGAGAAGAAATGTGCACCCTCAGTCTCAGGACTCCTACTTCACCCCTCCATTCCAGCCCTGACTCACATTTTTTCCCTTACCTCACTGACTTTCTTCAAATGATCTCAGAAAAGCTGCTCTGTGATTCTGAATGATTACTTCACACATAGCCTTGAGCCTTTATACAAAGGGAGAGTGTAAACAATTTCCAACTGCTCAGCTTCCCATTTATAAGAATTCTTTCTGTTTATCCACCCAACTTAGTCTTCCTCTTTGCTGGCCCTGCCATCTCTGGCACTCTTACTACCCCTTCCCAATGTCTGCCATCCACTTTCTTATTTTGCTGTCCTTATCTACTGTCTGTCATACTGTCTTTAAATATGGCTGTGTGTGTGTGTTCATTTTCACTTACATGAAAGCAGGACATTTAAAATGGTTGTGGACTACAGAAACATACACTCAGATCCCAGGACCAACTATCATAAATGCTGCAGTTTATAATGCAACCTCAAATTAGCTCACCCTATATCAATTTTTGAAGGGAAATTGGCATTTGCTATGGTCCTGACCTTTGAAGCTTTGAGTAGCAAATGCTTTTGAGAACTCTAGTATCAAGGCTATGTGTCATAAGGTTCTTTAAGTAGTTGGGCCTTCCTCTTCTTTTGCAATAACTCATGATCTCTCTCTACCCTTAGGCCTTTCCTAGAACCACATAAATCATTACTGGGGAAAGAAGAAGCCAGTTGTTCACTCACAAACAGTTCTTTGGTATTTGCTCTAAGATGTCATCTCCTATCTTCCTTTTATATGTGCTTAGATATATATGCTTAGAATGTATTGAGTGAAAACTTTGGACTCTAACCAAAATCTTAATTTAAGAATAACTTTTGGATTTTCACCACTAGAGAAAAGTACAAGTTTACATATAACATGTTTCAGAAGACGATGGTGAATGATTCTAAGATGTTATCACTGACTGATTCTATTTTTAGCAAACAGAGAATGAATATTCTCTATTCCAGGAAATAGGTGGATCACAAAATTAGGAAGGCTCATGTTCATCTGAGATCATCACAATCTATCCAGAAAATCAGAACAGCCATCCAAATATCTAAATACGGAGCCGTAAATATTAGTCCCAGCCTGCAATACATCACACAATCTCTCTAATATTTGAGTATGAACCATAGACAACAGCAGAGGTTGAACATTAACTGTCATTCATATGAACATTATATTTTTGGCATAAACCTTTCTTCTTTGATAAAATGCCCATTGTTCAATTTATTCCGTGTGCTGTAGGTTTACTTGCATTAAAAAAATTTTAAACACAGTGGTGATACTTGAGAAGTATGAAAGCTTATCAAGTAGACTGAATTTCCTACACATAAGTAACAGAGATGAGGCAGCAACAAAGAGGAGATAGAGTCACCTCCAGAGACATCACACATATCCACATGGTTCGTACAGTGTCTGTGCACACTCAGAGAAGCAGGGTCTCTGATCAAGAGGCACCCAAGAGGATGTGCTGAGATTCTGTGCCCTGTTTCAGGGAGACATTAGAGTTTCTCCATAATGCCATTGTTTGCCAGTCTGACCCACACTTCCTAACTCATGCTGGTAGTGCTGTGATTGTCCCTTGCTTGCCTATAAATTTAGCTCAGGGCAAAAGCATATTCACTAAAACATGAAGATGACACCAGCCAAGGAGCCCCAGGCACCTAACTTCTACACAGTCCCTTGCTCAGCAGCACTCCTAGGACATCTCTCACCAGGAGTGATTTACACAGACAAAACAAAAGCCTGAGTAGGAATAGCGATTTCACAATTCGGATTCTTGATTATCCTCATTAAGGACACAGGGTCATCTTTTCATCGATGAATGTCATGTGAAAATAGGAATGAAAAGGTGAAACTTAGCTCTGTTTCTTCAGAATCCCCAGTAACAAATAGAGCAGTAAACATTCTAAAATATTGTCCCACAAGCAAAGAAGGAAAATGTGTTGGATATAAAATAAAATGTATACAGAGCTGAGGCAAGTTAGGGACTTGAAAAAAAAGTCCAAGGCACAAGAGAGAACTGGTATCTCATGGCACCTGGGGACTGTGCTGGAGTTTCCTACACACTCTGAAGAGTGTTCACGGTGCAGAAGAAAGTTAAACTATGCAGAGGAAACAGGAGTAAATAGTTTTTGCTATCACTTTTTAAAATATGGTGATAGAAATCAAGTAGTAAAAGTCATCGAGGATGTTTGCATGCCATTTAATATGTTTAATATTTTATGACAAGTATATTTTGGTTCATTCATTTATGCACACATTTATCTATTCATGCACTCCACTGATATTTATTTATTGAGGGATTACTGTATGACTTCTACCACCTCCGCATCTCCACTCCCACATTACATCTCATCTCAACCTAAAAGTGAACTCAGACTTTCTTTTTGAATCTCAGGAGCCTTCTAATGCTTCAGCACACTGGCTTAAAATTTGACAGCTTTTTCAAGTATAACCAATATACAATGAATTGTATATTATTAAGTGTATACTTTGAAGAGTTTAGATGTAAATCTCCTAAAAGAGCTTTAGCATTAATTAAATTCAGCAAAATTACAAAATATCAAATCAACATACAATAATCATTTGTCTTTCTATATAACAATAAACAATATGAAAAGAGGATTAAGAAACAAGCCTGTTTGCAATAGTATGAAAAGAATAAAATAATTAGAATAAATTTACCAAGAATGTGCAAGATTGATACACTGAAAACTCAACACTGATGAGGGAAATCTAAAGACACAAATAAGTGGAAAACTGTCTCATATTCATTGATTGGGAAATATATTACTCAAATAGTCACATTACAACAGTTGGCAGATGTTATTAGGAATGCTGGAGGAGTTTAGGATGGCTTTCAGTATTCAACATTGTGCTATTGAAATATGTGTTTGTTTTTGTCTGGTTGTTTGGGCTCAGCTTTTATCTTTATTTTAGTGACACTTATTGGATCAGTATATTATGTTTCTTAATATTGTCCAGTACAAGTAATATGTGCACTTTTGTGTACACATAATCATACTTAAATTTTTACATAAAATAAATGCTTTTAGATCTAAAATAAATAAACTTTTAAAATCTTGAAATTAATTCTAAGTGTCTTAAAATTTGGGCAAATGATCTTTTCTCTGTGAGTTATGACCCAGGTCTTAAATGCTTTGCATAAATTACAGAGTAAAATACCTAAAACCTTCTCTCATTTAATATTATTCTTATTATCAATGTAGCAATTCTCAATGCTTCATTGAAGTTGACTTCTTCAGAATCTGCAACAAGGGGCATTTCCACTGGGGAGATTTTTATCAAAAAGGTGTTCTTTCCAGACCTCCAGTGTTGATTGATATGATCTCAACGCCTACCACTTTTTTAAATAATGCTGAAGAGTTAATAGACTTGCAACACTGGCCCTACACCCAACACATTTTAAAACAACTTAAGCCTAATATATGTGAAGAGTGATCTAGTCAAAATCGTATGACCAAAAGAAAGTATTGTGTTACTAAAGACCATGTCAGATATATGGTTTCTCTTGTAAGAAAAACCTCCAAATATAAATGAATTCAAGAATTAAAGAAAGGAGAGATGGTAGGAAATAGGGAAGAAGGTTCTTTGGAGATGGATAAGAGGATGAGAGAAAGGGTAGGGCCAAACTAGAGAGAGGGAGAAGAAGGATTATAAATGATTAAGATATGATATATATATATACATATTTAGTAAAATAAACGTAAATGTTATATATTGCAAGCATATACTAATAAAAATATATAAAAAGCAAAACTGAGTTGTAAGTCCTATCTGATAGTAAGGAATTCCCTCAATCAGTCTGAATTAGAGTAGAAATTACAGAAGCTGGGAAGGATGCAGATAGGCCAGGGTTAGAGGACAAGTACCAAGACACAGTTAGAGAGGAGTAGTAGTTCTAGTGTTCTGTAGCATAGCGAGGGGATCATGGTTCACAATAACTGACTGCATATTTTATGACTGTCTAGAAAAGAAGGGCTCAAAAGTTCCAAATGCAAACTAGTGATAAAGACATACAAGCATCAATTACCCTGATTTAAGCAGGATGCATTGAATACCTGTACAAAATTATCATACTGTGCCCCATGAAAATGTACTATTAAAATAACTAATTTTTTAAAGGAAACTGAGTTGTGCCTGAGGGAAGAAAAGAGATGGCGAGATCATAGTTTCAGCTTCAACAAGATGTCGGTCTCTACTAAGTACGTGTAGAAGATAATCTGTATATTGAAAAACAGTAAGGAAAAGTTCCAAGAACAAGGAGAACTTTTTAACTATTCACTTATCACATTTTAGAGAAAACCCCAGGTAATGTACAATCTATTCTTTCAGGAGAAGCAGAAATTGAGACATTCAGAAAAATCAGATAGTAACCAGTTTTGAAAGTTACTTTCCTTCCCATATAGCATATCCAATACTCCAGTTTCTCTTCAGATCGAATAAATCTTTTGCCTTTTACCATATAGTATATCCAGTATTTCATACTCCTGTGCCCTTTCTGCCTCATCCATGTAGAAAGGGGCATGGTAACGTCTTGGGACATCTCCATACTACATTGCAAGTAGGTCTATTCAGTTTTATGGATAGTGCTATTACCCCTGTGCCTTAGTATCATTGTTGCTCAGCCACACGAAACCTGTCCCTTAGGGAAAGATTATCTGTAGTCCCAGCATTGCTTTCAAATAAAAAAGCAACCAATGTATATCACTGAATGGACATTTCTACTGATGCTTGTAACATACAGAGACTCTATACTTCTGACAAACTGAAGACATAGGGTTTTTTAGATATTAATTGACTCA